ACTTGGCTGGGCCTGGTTGAGTAGCTGGGCAGCTGGATGTAGTATTCCCCATGATGAGACTGGTAATCAACTCCATGGTGGAATCTACTGTGAGCAGCTGAGTAGCAGCCTTAGGGATATGGTCTGCTTCCTGTATATAAGCAGAAGCCTTGGGGAACAGTCTCTAGCTTATGGCACGCTTGAACTCTGCATGTAGCTGTGTCATTGTTCAGCAGCCTGCCATGCTCTGCTGACCTTGGGACTTTCAATGGACCTGAATTGATGGCCAGCTGTGTGGTTTGGTAACATCAGGACTGTGCCTTTTTACTTGTCAATGTTGGGCTTGTCAGTCTCAGCAGCCAGCAGCTGTCTGAGTGGAGAAAAGCCTCTAGCTTCAGTGGGCCAGAAGCAGGAGGCAGCGCTGAAGCCCAAGGTTGAGGGGCTTTCACCCAGCCCCTAGAGCCTGGCACTTTGAACTCAGACTTAAAGCCTCCAAACTATAAGAAAATAAACTCCTGTTTGTTCAAGCCATCCCATTTTTGGTATTTTCTGTTAGAGCAGCACAGAGATAACCGATACACCCACAAAATTCCTTAACAAAATGTTAGCATATAAAAAAGGATAATACATCATGATATGGCCAAATGGGTTTATCCCAGGAATGTGAGGTTAGTTCAACTTTCAAAAGTCAATGTAATTCAGCATATCAGACCAAGAAAGACCATCTCCATAGGTGCAGACAAAAATGTTTGACAAAATTCACCATCTGTTCATGATACAAGCCTCTTAACAAACTAGAAATAGAAGGGAACTTCCCTTGGTCTAATAAAGGCAGCTATAAAAACTATAGCTAACATCATACTTAATAGATGACCACTTTCCCCCCCATATGGGAAAAAGCAAGCATGTTTGTTCTTACTACTTCTATTACACATTGTACTGAAGGTCCTAGCCAGTGCCACAAGTCAAGAAAAAGAAGTGAAAGGCAGACAGATTGAAAAAGATGTAAAAGTTCTTTATTTGCAGACCTGTTTGGGTAAGTAGATAAATTTACACAGTAGCTGCAACAATAGGATCAAACAGCAACAATTTTGAGAATGGTACAGGACTGGGCAATGTCTCATTTTGTTTTACATGGGGTCGCTTTGAGTCAGAGTAGACTCAATGACACCCAACAACAACAAATTATACCTCAATAAATCTTACTGAAATTGCTTAGCTTTCGACCGGTAGTTAAAGCTCTCTACTAGCTTTCCAGCATATTTCCCATTCCTCTTCTGTTCACCCACCCTAATACATTAGCTAAATTGAACTACTTGCTTTTGTTATTATTAATAGCAAAATCATTAGCAGTCAACATTAACTAGGACTTGCCATTGTCAAAGACAAGATAAAAGCATTCCACATATATTACCTCATTAATCTCCACTTCAATCTTATGAGGAAGGCTCTTTTTAAAGACAGAAACTGACACTTAGGAGATTAATAATTTGCCTAAGGTCGTTCAGAGGCTAGTAAGTGACAAAGCTTGGATTTGAATTTAAGTCTACCTGATTCCAAAATCCTCACACAAAATTTCTTTATTCCTTCTTATTATTCCTACCAACATGTCTGCTCATGCTGTTATCTCTGCCCAAAATATCTCTTTACTTCAACTTCAATTGCTCTACTTTTACCTATCCTTAAAAGCAAAACCAATACTCATGTCTCATCCATACAGCATTCCCAGATCTTCCTCCCTAGTTGGCAACCACCTCTCCAAAAGCATTAGAAGGAAGCTCCAGTGGCACTAAATCAACTCCTTCATTGTGACACTTTCTATCTTCTGCTATAGTTACTGACACACTTCTTCTACTAGATACTTTGCTACTTGAGGACGAGATACAAGGCTTGTTCACCTCATATCTCCCTCAGTTTCCTAACACAATACTTTGCACATAACTTACTAAATGAATGAATGATAGCTGGGACATTAGCTAGTAGTACAATTAGATCTAACACTTCATTCTACACAAGCAATGGCACCCTTATTTATTAGCTTCTTAGAATATAACTCTGTCTTTCTTTCCCAAATTTTCAGAGAGAAAATGAAAGCTAAAAACTAAGAGCCAAATCCACAGCAAATACTGTCTGTCTGCTCTCTTGATATGAATTAAAAACAGTCAAATCCTTGGGGAATGCATGAAAGCAAATGGGGCAGAAGTGGCAAGGAGAGACTTGTTAATATGCCAGGGGTAACAGAAATCATCAATGGGGAAGACAGTAAAGAAAATATCAAATTGCAAGAGTCCAGCCACATTCTTCAACAAGTCAATGGCATGAAAATGGAAAGGGTGGGGGAGGGGGTCTAGTTTATAAAACACTGGAAGACATCATAACCAAAAGTAATGTGTGGATAATGTATAGGTTTTTGTTTAAACAAATTACTGTACAAAGACTTTTTGGGACAATTCAAATAAGGATAGTTAAGTAGTAAATGATACTTAAGAATTACTGTTAATTTTGTTTGGTGTGAAAACGGTAGTGTGGTTATATTTTGTTGTTATTAAAGAAAGCGGCTTTACTTTTTAGAAATGCATACTTAAATATTTACAGATGAAATATCATAATGCCTCAACAAACTTATTTTAAAATATTTCAGCAAAAAAAAAAATTTAGTAACTATTAAATACAAGTGATGAATAAATAAGAAACTCATTAAACAATTCTCTTTATTTTTTGTTATGGGGAGAAAAAAATAAAAAGATAAAGTTTAGCCAGAGTCTCAGTTGCTGTTTAAAAACTCTGGATGACCATAATAACAGATTAAAATCACTGTTTTCTGTTTTGCTTCCCTGTATTCTATAGTCTATTACTACTTCTGTTATTTGATATTTACTTTACTGTTCTCATTCCTATCCCCTTCCAGATGGTACATTTCTTGAGGGCAGACACATATGTTTATTTTGTGTACCCAGAAGAATGTCACGTATCAAAAAAGAAAGAAGTGGAAAAGAAATGCTTTTAAATTTAGCTTGTACTTGAATTCATCTTATATTTGGTACCCATCTAGAAAATAGAACATTTCTAAACAACAATAATTTTTTTCCAACCAAAACTAAAATTTAACATGCATACCAAAGGAGAGGTATTTTTGCATATAACTATAAATTCCTAAATTTCTTCAAAGTAGAGTATAAAGTATCCATGTCGTCTATCAATTACACAAGAGGTTCTCAAAATATGGCCTGGGGAAACCTCTGGGAGTCAGCATTCCTTTCCAGGGATCTGTGAGCTAAAAACGATTTTCATAATAAGATGTTATTTATCTTTTTTTACTCTCATTCTCTCATGACTGCACAGTGGGAACTTTGAGACTATGTGTGACATCATTCTGAAGTTTAATGGAATGTGTTTGTGTATTCTTGTGTTTTAAAAATGTCTTAGTTTTCACTACTAATATGGTATTTACTGATAGATACAACTTGCATAGACAAAAATTTTTTGGGGTCCTTAAATTACTTAAGAGTGGAAAGGAGTCCCAGGACCCAGAACCTTGAGAACTGTTGAGCTACACATATGCAACTTTATTTTCCAAGCATTTCTTTATCACTGTCATCTTCAAAGGATAAGTACATGTTTATATGTGTGAATGGCACCATTTTATCCTGTGTCCTTTCATGATTTTCATGTGCCTCCTATTTAAGAATCTGAAGAATGCAAGTAGAAGAAAAAGCAAATCAAAGTGCTTTGCTTTATAAGGTTACTCTAAACATGCTCTTAAAAGTAAAAAGTATAATCTGAATAAAACTTCAAACACATATATTTGTGTTTGAAATGTCTGCTTTCTCGCTAGGATATGGATTGAAGAATTTAGGGAAAGAAAAGAATGAGAAATATAGCAAAAGCCACTGGAGGTGATCAAATGATATTTTTCTAAAGACACTCTGTCTGTAGCATGTTGAACAGTGTCCCCTGAAATTTATATTCACCCAGAACTTTAGAATATGACCTTGTTTGGAGTAGGACTCTTTGGAGATACCATTAGGTAAGGCTCTCAAGAAAAATCATCCTGGCTTTTGGGTGAGCTTAACTCCAATGACTGGTGTCCTTATAAAGAGGAAGGGACACAGACACAGTAACACAGAGAAGGTCATGTGAAGATGGAGGAAGAGATTGGAATGATGCAGCTACAAGCCAAGAACAGCAAGGATTGCCAGGAGACACCAGAAACTAAGAAGAGGCGAGAAGGATACTTTGCTAGAGCCTTTGGGGGAGCATGACTTTATTGCACCTTAATTTCAGACTTCCAGCCTCCAGACTGTGAGAAAATTAATTTCTGTTGTTTTTTAGTTACTCAGTCTATGGTAATTTGTTACAGCAGCCCTAGGAAATTAATACAATACTACCAAAGTAACTGAGAATTCATTGGGGGACATCACTTCTTTTAATGAATTAATGGGAATGAGAAACAAATGAAACAAATATTGAAATTGATTATCTACAAGGAAAATAATAAAGCACTTCAGCTTCTACATTTTTACTCTGGAAAATAAAGTGACACTTTATCTCAATTTATTTACTTTTTTCCCCTAATCTGATCTTTGTCCTTTCTATTCTATGTCTAGAGGGCTCTCAGACTGAAATCTGTTTTGAAGACAGAACTTATTCATCAATACAGCTAGTGTAAAATTACTTCTGTGTAAGCTTTCCATCATCCTTGGTTCATCCCTACACCAACCCCCTCACCTCTGCCACTAGGAAGATGAGTATCAACTGTTTGAGTAATTTAAACATTTTACTGAGGTATTATCTAAACCCTGAAGAGTTTGATTCGTTAGACAACTATCTGGTAGCCTTGATCACAGGAGATGGTCACATTTTCCTGAAAAAAATTAACAAAATTCTACCAAAAATAAATAATATTCTTCTGAAAATTTTGATTCTCTTTATTACATTTGAAGTTATTTTAAGGACCCTCTATAAAATGAAAAAATCACAATGCCTTTAAGCAAAGACTAGTAATTTTCATAGATCATTACCTTAGATAACAGCTTGTCAAATAAGCTATCCATTATCGCTACAAGCTTAGCTGATATTTCAGCTATGTGGTCATGATAATCCTGTAATGAGAAAAAACATTGTATTTTAAAATCTCTGCTCACATTTATGAAAAATTCAACAATTAAATTTATGAAATTCTGGTAGAAAATATATGAAATAATACCTTAGTGATATGATCAAAATGCCTAAGCATGCTATATTGCTTAGGCTGTAGTCGAGCTTCAAAATGTGCCCGGATCACAGGAATGTAGTGCACAATTAACTGCAAACAGCGTGAAGAAAGAGCTGAAGATCCAGGGAGTGGATATATCATGGAGTAACAAAAAAAGATATTTATTTGACGTTAATTACATATCCAACTAAATACAAAATGTCCATTTTACACAGACCTCAGTTTATGTCATAAAAGAAAAGCACAGTGGCAGAGGGCAACACATTTTATTTTGTTTAAGAAAATCATTTGATACAGAATAATACAATGAACATGATGCTTCCCCATATATTACTCCCAGGACTCAATCCATAAGCATTATTGGTATAAAAAAGCAATTGATTCTCTTCTGATATTCAGATACCTTTTTCCCCAAAGCACTTAATATTACATCTTGATATTTTCTAGAGGGTGCAACCTCCAAATAATTTATACTTTCTATTAGAATGAAAATCCCCCATAACATTTTCCCAGAGGTTAATTTTCATTCATGATAATACATTATGAAAATAAAGTAGCACTTGCCACTTTTCGAGCCTTTTTGGTTAGGCTTATTTTAAAAAAAAAGTAATAACAACAACACAATGAGTATAGCAACATCACTGAACATCTCAGAATATGAATTAAGTGTAAAAATCCATACCCAAATTTTTTGTAGTTATTGTTTTCAGTCCAACAACTTGCAATGCACCAGCTCCAAGAACTAACTGGCAACTTCTTGAATTGAAGTACTAACAAAGGAAGGAGAAAAAAAAATTTATTTATAAGTACGTCTCATATGTTGGCAATATGTTAACAGTTCCAAAAATACATTCCTCTTTCCTTTCATTCATAGACGAAAACAATTTTCTAGTAGAAGATATTACGATCTATTTATGTAAGACAAAAAAAAAAGCAGCTTTCTAAATGATGATATTTAATGTCTGGCAGGGAAAAAGGGTAAGTTATTCCAAAACCCTATTGTTCTAAAACTAATCTTTAATCTGCACTCAAAAAACTAACTCAGTTTTAGACATTTTTACTGGGAAAAACTTTTTAAAAGGGTAAAAAAAATCTTTCTGCACTAATACATGACAACTCAAAGTTCAGGACAGAATTACTTGATAGATTGGAGGTTTGACAAAAATAAAACCTTTTCTCCTTTTCTACCAAGTAAGTCTGCTATGGTTAACTTGAAGTTAAATATGAAATGGCTGAATAAGAGAATCACCACATTTTCATTTTACATCAATGGTTCGGAAAGAATTATTTAAGAAAAATCGCTAACCTTAGTGAGATGAATTTTGTAAAGTTCAGTGAATTCCTTCCATGCACATTTGAAACCAGTCCAGGTTTTTTGACCTAAGAGGCCTCAGTCATGTTCAGCACCTAACGAACAAATCATCTCCTGTCTCCAATGTCATTAACAACTCTACGGGTGTAATGAGGATTCACTAAATGCGGAGTGAGAAGGAAGCAGGCAGCTTTTTTTCCAATATGATGTGATCCAACCACAAACAAATTTCACAAAATTAACATCTTAAAGATATCTTGACCTTGAAATGTCTTAGACCTGAAAGATTAGTCACATTCTAAAGAATTACTTTTTCCAACTATTTTTCATAATGTATGAAATCATACACACCTTCAATAAATCTGACAGACGAGTAAGCATGTCAGTAGTAACAGATGGGATGTTATCTACACACTGGCAATATTCAAGGATAATTCTTATTAAGAGCAATACAGTTCTGGAAGAAAATAGAAAAAAAGATGACCCAGTGGGGTAGTCAGAACAAGAAAAATTAAACTGATTTGGCATATAAAAATCTACTTATTTAACCAGTACACTGGATCTCTGAGGATATATTGATCTTGGTAACAGTTAAAATCTGTGTTTCAATTACTATACAGCAGGGCCTGGACTAGAGTGAGGCAAGAGAAGTATCTAGGGTGCAAAATTTAAGTACGCATTCACTCCCTCTCCAGGGCACACAATTTCAGGGCCAGCTCTTACATGATCCAGAAACTGAGTACTTCCGTAAGTGTTGGGCTGTAGGTGCCTCACTCTTTTCATGTTCTTACTAAGGAAGCCCCTTCGATAAGGCAGGTTTTAGGAATATTAACAAAAAAGCCTACTCACTGTTTCTGATTGTATACTTAGTATATATAGTAGGTCCTCAATCCTAACTGTTGAATTAATGAAGAGAATCGAATCCAGATTTTCTTAGTGAGATGAAAGAGAATCTGTAATGGTTTCTAAGGAGTTAATCAGTAGATTATAAAAGTTTCTCCAAAGATGAGAAAGTTACCAGCTAATTAGCAGAGCATGTCACAAGCTGAAAAAACTCATTACAGAGAGGTTATATAAAATTGAAATTAAGGGACCATGAACCATTCTGAGGCACCTGAGTTCAACAGGATGTTCTACAATGAGAGATCCATGTAAAACTATGTTTTATAAAAGTCTGAAGGGTATCAGGAACTAGTGGTTCAAGAAAGATATTGTCTAGGTTTTTATAAGACCATAACTGTCACACCACATACTACTCTCCATGCATATCCCTAGAGTCTACTTTACTGGACATGAGTCCACTACTTCTCTATTATAATCTTCTTTTGGAAGATATAATATTCCCCCACTTAGCCAATGAATTTAATCTTTGGGAATAGTCTCTTTGCTTAAAGATCCAGAAAGCTCTTTACCTAGATATCCAGAAGGGAATAATAACCATTTCCATCAAGCACATGAAAAAGCAAGATATGGGTAAAGAGGGGAAGCATAATTAGATTGAAGGGATGAGATTATAGGGAGGTTGAAAATAAACTCTGCCTTACCAGGAACAGCAAAGGACTATAAAGAAAAAAAGAATGGAGGCTTTAACTTACAACTTGTGTACTTCAGTGTTGCCTAATATAGATTAAGAAAAAGCATCAAATTTACGCATACTTCTTGAGTACTTATTAGGTGCTGAGAAAAATAAAAATGGTACAACAAGATCCTCACGTGTGAGGAACTAGAGTCTAACCAGGGAGACGTATACATAAATAATTCTAATATACTCTGGTAAGTGCCATAATAGAGGCAACAGACTTACAAGGAGAGGATCATACATTCTTCTGGAGGGAGTGACTGTGGTTGTAAGGATCAAATGAGATCATATGTATGAAAATACTTAAACTGTAAAGTGTTGTTAAGGAATATTAAGATACTATTTTAATCACCTATTTAATAAAAGGCATCTATTATCAGGCAGAAAACACTGAAGTTTATATTTTTCTTTGTTAATGTGAATCAGAGATACAGTTACTGGTAAAAGTAAACAACCTAATGACTCAAATGATGATGATGATGATGATGATGATGATGACGATGATGAAAATAAACCACAATCATCAATTTCTTATTCAATGCTGTTATTGTTTGGTGTCATCAAGTTGACTCCAACTCATGGTGACCCCACATGACAGAAAAGAACTGCCTCATAGGGCTTTCTAGGCTGCAATCCTTAGGAGAACAGATTGACAGGTCCTTCCCCCACAAAGCCAATGGCTGTGTTCAAATCACCAACCTTTTGCTTCGCAGTTGAGCACTTAATCATTGCACCACCAAGGCTCTGTGCTAAATGCTTTATACGTATTACTTGCTTAATTTTCACAATAATTCTACAATGTACTATGCCCCACATTTTATTTTACATATGAGCAAAGTGAGACACAAAGTGAGTCACTAAGTGACTGCCCAAAGTCATAAAGAGCAGCAGAGACCCTGGGATTCAAACTTAGAACAGTCTGACTCTGCAGCCCACAATTTTAACCATCATGCTATTTACACACTAAGAAAGCTATAGGAAAAAAAAGAAACACCCTGGGATAGTAACAATATCATGGAGTCATAATCCCACCCTTACACTGTCTACCTCTAGATTTCTTGTTATATGAGAAAAATCACCCATTTCAATGAAGCCGGTGTAGTCCACCAGATATAACATAGTATATAATATATAAAACAAAAATGAACCCATACCATCTCCTTTAAATTCTTCATAGGATTTAAAATTTTTAATCCAAACTTCCCAAGTCACTTCAAAAAGAAACTATAAGACCTATGTGTAAATAACTGACTCAACTAATAAAGAAAATGTATCACTTACCCAACAACAGCATATTGTTGTCCCTCAACTATGAGAACTTCAGCTGGTTTCCTTTCTTCTGTAGCTAGATGGTAAAACAAATAAATGAGACAAGGGTAACAAAATAATCAAGAAAAAATACTGGGAAAAAGTTGAAGAATAGTTCCTAGTTAGGGCCTGGAAATAATCTCATTTCTGAAAATAAACAGCTACTTCTTGGAAAGTAATCTGGCTGGATGTATCCTGCTGGAAAAATTACTTAACCTTTTTGGGCACCAAATTTTGGTCCATTAAAAGCAGGTAACATAGTGAATCTAAGTCAACAGTGGTGAAATAATATGGGTACAGATAATGAGAATGGTGACACGGTGTGAAGAATGTAACCAGTGTTACTGACTTCTGTATGTAAGTATTGTTGAATGGGTATATGTTCTGCTATGCATATTTTCACAACAATTGAAATTAAAAAATAAAACAGGGACCTTAAAGATTGTTAATTGATCATGCTGGTATTATGGGGTGGGAAAGAGGGCCATTACACTAGTCTCCCAGCTTTGTGTAAGTTTGGGAAGTTTTATTATAATTTTTTCTTTTTTTCCTTAATTGTGATTTGGGTGAAAGTTTACAGAGCAAATTCACTTTCCATACAGCAGTTCACATACACTTTGTCTCATGACATTGACTACAATTTACCACAATGCAACAACTCCCTTCCCACTTCCTCCCAATAGTTACCTCTTCCCTGTGTCCTTCCCTCCCATGCACTCCTGCCACCCAAGCTATGTGCCTGTGCATACACAGCCCTTCTATTCTCCCATGATTGTTCTCTCCAAGGAGTGTATCTACCTAGTGTAAATGTTCACCTCATATGCCTGTCTTTTGTTTGGCTAGAAGCCAAAAATGTGGGTTCAATTCCAGACCTGAAGAGCAGTTAGGGGCTATAGTCTCAGTGGTTCCACCAGGCTCTATCAGACCAGCAAACCGGGTCCCTCTTTTTTTCCTTCAAATGATTCTGAGTTTTGTTCCACATTGTTCTCCCACTCTATCCAGAATCTCCTATGTAGATCTCCCTCTGAGTGGTTGACAGTGTAGCCGGGCACCATCTAGTTCTTTTGGTCTCATAGTTGTATAGGCTGAGGATCACATGGTATACCAGTTGCTTGGACTAAGTGTTTCTATTAATCTTTGGTTTGCTTCACTCTTCTTTGCTCTGGACACAGAGAGACCCATCGTTGCATCTAGATGGCTACTTGCAAGCTTTTAAGATCCCAGTCACTACTCGCCAAAGTAGGAGGTGGAACAATGTTTTGTATAGTATGTTATGCCAATTGAGCTTGATGTCCCCTGCGACTATGGTCCTGAGCCCACAGGATCAACTGCTTGCTTCCTCTGGGTAGCTAGCTGTGGCCAAGAAGTGACTAAAAACACTTTTTTTTTTTTTTTTTTTAACAAAAGCAGGTAACAATGGTTAATGTTAATGATAGAGATAATGATCACAAATATACTCTAGGCCTGGCACATGGTGGATGATCAATAAATAGTTAAAAGAAAAAAAAATTATATATATATATATAGAGAGAGAGAGAGAGAGAGAGAGAGACACGTATATAATGTGTATATATGTGATAATATGTGATACAGAGTCAGTCCTCTATATCAGAGGGTTCTGTACCTGTGGTTTCAACCAACTATGGATCAAAAATATTCAGGGTGGGGGTTGTTGAGCAATTAAGTGGTTAAAGGAATCCCTCAAAGGCTAAGTAAGAGGGAGTATAAAATGCTATTTATATAACATTTACACTGTATTAGGAATTATAAGTAATCTAGGAGCTCTGGTAGCATAGTGCCTAAGGCACTTGACTGCTAACCAGAAGGCTGGTGGTTCAAACCCACCAGCCCTCCTCGGAAGGAAGGTTGGGCAATCCTACTTCTGTAGTGATACTGCCTCGGAAACCCAAGGAGGGGTCGCTATGAGTCGGGTCCGACTTGACGGCACATAACAACAACAACAACAGAGATGATTTAAAGTATATGATAGGATATGTATAGGTTATATGCAAACAATATACCATTTTATACAAGGGACTTGAGCATCAGCAGATTTTGGTGTCTGGGGATGGGTGTGCCCTGGAACCAATCCCCTGTGGATACCGAAGGATGGCTTTATATATACAGTATATATAATAATATACAATATACATATTACTACTGTAAGTTTAGAAAGGCAGAACTAGCATTTCAACTGGTTGTCTTTTATTTATTCTTGGAAAATTAATTTCTAAATTCAATGGAGAGATTTTATATTTAATTCCCAATCTAGAAGTTACTTTATTTCGGTATGTTATTTTTTATGTTTTGAGACAAAACTAAGCATGTTAAAGAAAGAAGAGTGCAATGGACTATTTTCCTGGATTAGGAAAATTAAATAGATTACCATGGCCAGTCATCACACGTCCGCAAATTTCAAGTTCCTTTGAGTTCTAGGATGTGAAGCTTCTACTTCTTCTCTTTCAAACAAAGTTGAGTGTGATGTAACTTCTAATCACAATGTACTATATCTATCAGACTACAAGGAGCTATGGTGCAGTGGTTAAAGCATTTGACTGCTAATCAAAAGGTCAGCAGTTCGAATCCACCAGCTGCTCCTTGGGAGAAAGATGAGGTAATCTACTTGCATAAAGGTGTACAGCCTTGGAAATCCTATGTGGGTAGTTCTATTCTATCCTATAGAGTCTCTAGGAGTACAATCAACTTGATGGCAGTAGATTTGGTTTGGGTTTTGGTCAGACTACATTGTTTTGAACACAGGGGCTGTGTCTTAATCAATTCTCTATACTGCAGAGAGGGAATGGCCTCAAAAGTCAATCTGCTGCACTTAGGATCATGGTCACATGGGATAATTCACTCAACTGGTAAACCATAGTTCTTAAAGTTTATTTTCTATGTCCCAGTATGGTAACTAGGGTCTAGGGTCTTAAAAGCTTATGAGTAGCCATCTAAGATACAACTATTAGATTTTAAAATAAAAGAGAAAGAAGGAAACCCAAGATCAGAGAAGGAATCAGCCTACAGGAGTGTCTACATGAACCACCGCCTCTTCCACCTTGAGTCCAGAAGAAGTAGATGATGCCCAGTTACCATTACTGAATGTTCTGATAGAAATATCATAGAGAAGCCTTCATAAAAAGGGAGGAATATGTAGAACAGACCTTAAAATTCTTTTTTTTTTTTTTTAGAACTTAAAATTCTTAAGAAATCCAGACTTATTGGACCCACTGAGCCTAGAGAAGTCCCAAGACTATGGCCCTGAGTTGCTCTTCAAATCCTGAATTCAAACTATTCCCTGAAGTCATCTTTAAGCTAAGTAATAATTTAGCCCAAAGAGTAAAGGTTATCACTCTTGAACATAGGTTACTTTAAAAAAGAAAAAATACAGAGATAAAGATATACAGATATATGACCAAAGGATCAATAGCTATTTTAGTGCATAGATGAGAAGCCTAGGGGACAGGGAGAATAAATAAATAGAAGTGAAACAACTAGAACAGAAATAATGAGAATGTTGACACAATGTGAACAATTTAACCACTGTTACTGATCATCCTGTCCAGACACTGTGGTGTGGGAGTAGGTTTTTCTATGTATATTTTCATGAGAAATAAAAATTAAAAAAACATTCAATCCACAGAATTTGAATCTCAGCTCTTCTACTTCCTAGCTATGTAAACTCAGGCAAGTTGCTTAATCTCTTTGTACTTCATTTTTCAGATATTTAAAATGGGAATAGTAATAGTGTCTAGATCATTGACCTATAATGAGATAATACATGAAAAGTGTTTAGAACAGTGTATGACAATTAGTAAGCACTCAATATATATTATTTATAAATTCATATGCATTGCCTTTCATGTCCTCAATGCTTAGCTTGTTGTTGTTATTGTTATGTGCCGTTGAGTTGGATCCAACTCATAGCAACCCCTCCTTGGGTTTCTGGGCCAGTATCACTATAGAAGTAGACTGCCCAACCTTTCTTCCGAGGAGTGGCTGTTAGGTTTGAACCACCAGCCTTCCGGACAGCAGTCAAGTGCCTGAGGCACTATGCTACCAGAGCTCCCCAATGCTTAGCTAAGTAGCTAGTAATTCAATACATGTATGGTGTATAAAAGAATAAAAACAAAATATCCTTAAATTGGTTAGAATGAGTTAAATGTTAATGCACTTCTAAGAACCTTCTTCTCTTTCATAACAAAAGACTGGGGCAGAAGCAGGTTATGTGAAAGAAACCTTTATTCTTGGTATCCTCCCAAGAAGAAGAGAAAATAAATAGTTCACTTTGCAGGGGAAAAACAAAACATGGTTAATTCAATCATTCTAATTTAAAAAACTGTTGTTTGCTTAATAGTAGCACTGGAAAAACAGAAAAAGATAAAATTCTACATAACAACACCTTACACAGTGGAAGTCAATCAAATATAGCTTGAATGAATGGATGCGTAATAGTCTTACCACTTTAAACCAGTGATTTACAACAGTTCAAGTGTTTTTTATTGTTCTTTCAGCTTTTGTTTTGCTAGTATCATACAATCAGTGTAAAAAAAACAAAAAAGACACCAACCACCTAACACTGTTACTTACTAAAAACAGTCACTGTTGTTAGTTGCCATGGAGATGATTCCAACTCATGGTGACCCCATGTATGTCAGAGTAGAACTGTACTCCATTGGGTTTTCAAGGCTGTGAACTTCCAGAAGCAGACTGCCAAGCATGTCTTCCAAAGCTCCTCCTGGTGGGTTTAACCTTTCAACTAGTTGTTCAGTGCTTAACCATCTGTACACCCCAGGGACTCCTAAAATGGTCACTAAGTAATAGAATAGTTAATTCTTTTGATTCCTTTACCTACCCTATATGAACTAACCTATTTTATACCTATCCTTACATCCTCTCCTCTTGTCACAGTGGTAGAATAGGTACCTCTTCTGAATTCTGGTTCAATTCCAAACACTTGCTCCACAAATCATACTCTCATTCTTATCCCATATCAATTTTATTATTATTATTATTAAGCATAAAAATATAATTCTGTTTTTCTTATCTTAAATAAAAACTTTCAACTCTCAGTTGATTAAGGTAATAATTTTTCTCTTCTCTAAGTACCACTTTATCATTTACTTTCCTTCAGAGCCAAACTTATTGGAAAAGTGGGCTATATTTATCATCTACCTTTCTCTTCACCTTTCAGTTACTTAGCAATGAACTATAATCTGACTTCCAAACTCCACTAAATTGCTAAAATTGTGAATAATCTCCCATCTGCCAAAAAGCCATTATCTGTATTTTACTCAGTTTTATTCTTTGTGAGACTTTTTGGTTTGCAGTTACTTTTGGTACAAATGTGAACTATATAATTCAGAAATATTTTAATGTAAAAATATTAAACTTCCGTTAAGTACAGAAAATTGGAAAAAATGACAATTGCTCTTTCCTTTAAAAAAAAATCACCAATTACATAATTTTAAGCTAGTATTACAGGATGTATTATAAATCAGTTTAAATTATTATCACATGGTGACTACTCTGTAACTGGAATACAAAAGGATCTCCTAGCCATGACATCTATATCACACGAAGCCCAACTTACATCTGATAGCAATGACAATTCTCTCCCCAAAATTCTAATTTTTTTTTTTTTACTTTTATGATCTTCTGGATTTCTTCCTTCCTCTCTGGCCTCTTCTTCTCAGTCTCCTTCATAGTCCTCTTTCTCTACATTTCTCTATATTTTGGTTTTCTCTATCATATCATTATTCTATGACTTGTGATTGGTAATATATTTTTTGTTTTATTTCATTGGACTTGGCCCCTTTAAGGTAACTGTAATTTTGATCTCTTTATCAATATCTTAGAGAGTCTAGATGGTGTGTAAACAGTTAAATGTGCTAAGATGCTGAGTCTACATGGATGCTCCTTGGAAGAAAGGTCTAGTGTCTACTTCCAAAAAATTAGCCATTGACGATTCCTTCAAAAGTTGGAATTAGAAATACCATTTAACCCAGCCATTCCATTACTAGGTATATATCCTAAAGAGGTGAGAGCCATGACACATACGCACACTCATGTTCACTGCAGCACTATTTACAATAGCCAAAAGATGGAAACAATCTAGATGTCCATCAACTGAGGAATGGATAACCAAACTATGGTACATACACAAAATGGAATACTATGCAACCCTAAAGAATAGCGTAGAATCTGCAAAACACCACATAATGTGGATGAACTTGGAAGATATTATGCTGAGTGAAATAAGTCAATCACAGAAGGACAAATATTGTATTAGTCCATTATTGTAAAATTCAAGGAAAGGTTTATCTATGGAAGGAAATTTTCTTTGTTGGTTACCATGGGTGGGAGGGGAAGGAAGGGAATACTGTTAGACAGGTAGAGATAATTATTCATTTGGGTGAAGAGAAGGGCAATGTACCAAATGTAAGTGATCAACATGGTGGCACTGAGGAAGAGGAAAACATAAGGAGGTACAGACAACAAAGATGAACCCTTTTGCACATACAGTACTGCATTATCAGTGAAAGCAAGCATGGCTATACAGGTGGACAGATGGGTGGACAGGTTGAACTATTAAGTATACCTATGCAGTGGGGACCCAAGAACATGTATAGCGTTGGCAGACAATGGTTCTACAAGTCTATTTGTATATCTGTGGGAATTTCTGTGTATATAGTAGAGATGACAAGGGACAAGGTTGTAGTCACTTCTTGGCCACAGCCAGCTACCCAGAGGGAGTGAGCAGTTGAACCTGTGGGCTGGGGACCATGGTCACAGGGCACATCAAGCTCAATAGGCATAATATACTACACAAAACATTGTTCCACCTCCTACTTTGGTGAGTAGCGACTGGGATCTTAAAAGCTTGCAAGCAGCCATGTGGATGCAATGATGGGTCTCTCCTCATCCAGAGCAAAGAAGAATGAAGCAAACCAAAGATTCATGAAAACAATTAGTCCAAGTAACTGGTAGACCATGCGATCCTCAGCCTATACAACTATGAGACCAGAAGAACTAGATGGTGCCCGGCTACCACTGTCAACCCCTCAGAGGGGGAGCTATGTGGGAGATCCTGGATAGAGAGGGAGAACAATGTGGAACAAAACTCAAAATCATTTGGGGGAAAAAAAAAGGGGGACTAGGTTTGCTGGTCTGATAGAGCCTGGTGGAACCACTGAGACTATGGCCCCTAGCAGCCCGTAAGGTCTGGAATTGAACCAACACCTGTGGTTTCCAGCCAAACGAAAGACGGACATATGAGTTGAACATTTACCTGAGGTAGATACACTCCTTGGAGAGAACAATCATGGGAGAAAGAAGGGCTGTTTATGCACAGGGAGACAGCTCAGGGGCAGGAGTGCATGGAGGGATGGACACAGGGAAGAGATAACTATCAGGAGGAAGTGGGACGAGAGCTGTTGCATTGTGGTAAACTGTAGTCAATGTCATGAGACAAAATGTATGTGTGAACTGCTATATGGAAAGTAAATTTGCTCTGTAGACTTTTACCCAAATCACAATTAAAAAAAAAAGAAAGAAACCCAAGGAGGGGTCACTATGAGTCGGGGCCAACTCGAATGCACATAACAACAACAACAACAATACATATATACACACATTATGTATATAATACAGCTAACAGGGAACAAAATTATGATAACTTCTTAGCCACAACCAAATACATTGAGGGCGTGCACTGCTAGGCCTGCAGGCTTGGGACTATGGCCACAGGGGACATTAAGCTCAGTTGGTACAACATAGTAAACAAAAACATCGTTCTACATTCTACTTTGGTGAATAGCAACTGGGGTCTTACTAGCTCATGAGCGGCCATCTAAGATGCAACTACTGGTCTCTCCTTATCTGGGGCAAAGGAGAGTGAAGAAAATCAAAGACGCGTGAAAATAATCTATCCAAGGGATTAGTGGACCATGGGAACTCAGCCTACACAATTCTGAGTCCAGCAGAACTAGATGGTGCCGGAGTACCACTGCCAACCCTCACAACGGGATGAAAATTGGAGATCCTGGATGAAATGGCAGAAAAAAATGTGGAATAAAACTCAAAATCCTAAAAAAAAAACCAGGCTTACTGGGCTGACAGACACTGGTGAAACCCCTGAGACTATGGCCCCTCACCCTTCAGGTCTGGAAATTAACTCACTCTCATGGCTTAACATTCAGTCAAATAGGACTACAAAGTGAACAATTGCACCAGGGAGGTGCACTCCCTAGAACAACCGTCTATGAGAGATCAGAAGGGCAGCATTTGCCCAGGGAAAAAACTCAGAGGGCAGGAATGCATAGGAAAAAAGGGAATAAGGAAAATTTAACCACATTGCCAAGGAAGTGGCAAGAGAGCTGTGACACTGTGGAGACTACAATCAGTATCATGAAACAAAATATATATGAACAGTTGAATGGAAGTAAGTTTGTTCGGTAAACTTTCACCCAAATCACAATAAAAAGTTAAAAAAAAAAAAAAAAATCAGCCACTTGAAAACCCTACAGAGCACAGTTCTACTTTGACACACATGGGATTGCCATGAGTAGGCATCAAGTTGATGACAACTGGTTTGGTGTTTTGGTTACCAATATCTTACACAAAGTAGAAGCTTACTAGTGTTTACTGAATGAATGAATGTATGTCTCTACACTCAACAATATGATACAGTGAATTAAGAATATAGCTATGAAATCATATAAAACTGGTTTTAAATATTGACTCATTCATGACTGGACAAAATTCCTTAACCTCTTCAGGGCTCAAGTCTCCTCACTGGTTAACAAAATCATAACAGTACCTTCCTTATAGATTGTTTTGATGATAAACTAAGGTAATGCATGTAAAAAGCTCATGGGTCAGCATCTGGTACACAGTTAACATTGATTAAGTATTTGAAACCATTATTATTATAAATTACCATAACTACTTTTCCTGTCAACTATCTATTGACTAAGCTAGAAATATGAGTTCTGGGCTTTTTAAGAGTCATTACCAATTAAAGAAATATTACATAGTCATATGAAATAAACAAACATAATATAAAACTGGAAGAAAGTGTGAAAGAATACACATACCCCCTGATTTTTTTTCAGGTAAAGCAATCTTTCCATCTGATATAGAATCAACAAGATCCTGAAATTCTGCAGGAACATCAGCTTGCTTCCAGCGTTCATTGTCTAAGAGGAGGCTATTCAAAAATGTAAAGAAAAGAAGATAAACAAACTTTAACATTTCACCATCATGTTCACTGGTTGAACAGAAAAGAAAAAAGAGCTGAGTGAGTATGTAAGACTTTTAAAAGTGCTGAGATCTTAGTAAACTGAAATAATTTATAAATAGTACCAATACTTTAAGAAAATATTTTCTTATTGATATCCCTTAGCCTAATCAAGAACAGTGGTGAAACAATTTACTTCACTTTGAGTGGGAAAGAAAAAGTCAGTCTATTAAGGATCCTCCTCATAAGTATTTCAGTAGAAATAAATATTCTAACCTTACTTCTAAAAGCCAAGAAATATGATTTTAATTCTATAATGGCCTTTAATTAAAAATAGAAATTATAAGGTTTATAAAATTTGATTGGCCAATCTATTTTCTTATTTTACATTGTGCTTTGTAAAGAAAAGGGAAAAAAAAACCCTAAAGAATAGAATATATATGGTGATACCTGAGCTTGGTTTTTCTTTCTTCATGGAACCTATTAACAAATTTATTAGCTTGGCTCTGAAGTGCTCCAAGTAATGACATGCTTTTTCTTCCACAGATCTGTTCAGTGTCTAAAATGAATGTTTCCATTAATCTAGAAAGTGTTATAAATTCCGTGGAATTTAGCTTCTCAAGAAAACCATCCTAAATTTTAAAGATGACACAAAAATCATGACAGAGTCAGTATAATACCAAGCATAGATAAACTATAGAACCAATTTAACAGTTCTAAAATAGAAATTATTTTTATCATTTTTAATGAAATTTCCATACACTTCAGTGCCAGAAATTGCATATAAAACACTTTAAAAGTCTAAATTTCATCCTTTTATAGCTAATACAGTAGCTCAAATGAATTCAGGTCATATTATAAAGTTTACACAATACTAGAGTTTAATTAATTTGATTAATAAAAGTTTAGCTGTACATACCACACACACACACAAAACAGTGTATTACTGTGTTTCAAATTAATTATTAAAGTATTATGTTTAAAAATAAGTCTTTTAATTGTTTATTTTAAAGGAATGTTTTAATTCTGTTTCCTATTTATTTTATTTGGATTATTTTACATCTCCCTAACATGTCACACCAGCAATGCTATAAATGTTATTAAATATTAAAAGTATGATATGCATTATGGGGAACAAGCAAAGATATAATTCCAGATCTTCAAAACAAATTATATTATGTATAAAATATAAAATATCTGAAGTTTTATCAACGTAACTCACCTTTGCTCTTGACATGAGAAATTTGACAGCTCGATCATGGCATATATCTGAGGCACTATACAGTAACTCCTGGATACTATTTGCCAGTTTTCCTAGCTCCAAGTCAGTTAACTTCATGTCCTCATTGCCCCTGAAAATGAGATATGGTCAGGTAGTTTTGAACACATTTCTCTGTAGGTGACATATCAATAAAAAGGACAAAAAGCTATAAAAATTCACATTTAAGAAAAAAATTTAGTGATGTGTCAAATACTTCATAGCTTCTGTATTGAAGCATCACTTAAACATGCTCAGGTAATACAAATATAAATTACCCAAACTTAATAATAATAATGAAGCCAAGCAGCAGAGTAGTTAAAGTACTTGGCTACTAACTGAAGGTTGGCAGCTTGAATCCACTAGCTGCTCTCCAGAAGGTGAGGTGGTATGCTTCCATAAGGACTTACAGCCTTGGAACCCTATGGAGCAGTTCTACTCTGTCCTACAGGGTTGCTATGAGTCTAAATGGACTCAAAGGCAGTGGGTTATAGTTTAGTACAATATGGTAGGAGTGGGAGAAGAGGAGTTTTACACAGGCACCCAGGATGACACAGTGAAAGGAGGAAGAAGGAAGGAATGTTATTTCATGGCAAACAGCCCTTTTTATTTATAAATGACAGTTAATACTCAGTTCAACTCAATATTTACTGAGCCATTTAGTATGTTTAAAAGTGCTTGCCACTCAAGAGGATGTAATAGAGGTTGCTGTCCTCAAGGAACTTGCAAGCAAACAGTAGTTTTTTAAGACGTAATACCAATTTTCAAAGAGAAATGTGAGATTTTTTTTTTCTTTATACATTTTCCCCTGGGGCAATATGAAAAGCACTGATTCCATGCTAACAGGTCAGTTTAGTGTTACTGTGAGTATGGTTAAGTTTTCTAATACTATTTTTTCCAAAGATATTACAAAGTGGCTCTGATATATATTAATTTGATGTAATCCATCATTCTAACTGGGCTGAGGTATTAAAGTTATCACCTGCTATTCTTCATAATTATATCACTACTTTATTCATTAATACTTTAAGATAACAGAGGGCTTAATATTTGTAAAGTATTCTGAAAAACATCCTTTGATTTTTATTTCTCACACTTCCAGGCAAGTAGATGAGTACTTACTTTACATTTGAGAGCACTGTATCTTAAAAAGTTTATGTAATCTACCCAAGATCAAAAGGTTAAGGGAGTGAGACTAAATCCCAGAACAAGTCCAATTCTATCTCTACTGTGATCTAACGTTTTAATTCTATATATGCCATCTGGTGATGTTTCCATACCAGCTCATACAAAAATATCTGCTTAAATTTCAAACTCAAATTTACTACTGAGATAAAGTTTTATTTTTTTCAAGAAATTCTAAAATTTTTCCCTCAGGTAACAGAATGATTAAGGATTTGGAACTCTTGGCAATACTGTCCCAATTCATAAAGATATAAGCAGAAAACAAAAAGAGTTCAAGTCTTTGTATGAATAAGGAGACTTAATGCAAAAAGCTGGAGGAGTTACATTAAAAAAAAAAAAAAGAAAGAAATTTGACTCTTTTAACCAATACTTTATTTTTTAAATCTAATAATATCTCTGACTTTCACATCCAAAAAAAGCCTCCAAACTTTCTAATTTGTTCCATTATTTTCCTTCCTCATTACTGCCATAATTATAAATAATTATAGACTATTTGATTATGTGGAAAATCTACCAAGAACAAAGATAAAATGACAAGCACCACTTCTGCATGTGCTGTATCTATGACACAAAAATATACTGCAAAAACACTTGAAAAAGGAATAGCTAAAGCCCTTGTATGGAAACAACTAGTTAGGGCCTGATATATAAATATGTTCAATTAATGCACTGTCCCTTTGTTTTTTAAACTGTGATTTGGGTGAAAATTTACAGAGCAAATTCACTTTCCATACAGCAGTTCACATACATACACTTTGTCTCATAACAATGGTACTGTAATTTATCCCAATGCAACAGCTCCCTGCCCACTTTCCCCTGATAGTTACTTCCTCCCTGTGTCCATCCTTCCATGCACTCCTGCCCCCTGAACTGTCTCCCTGTGCATAAACAGCACTTCTTTCTCCCATGATTGTTCTCTCCAAGGAGTGTATCCCATATGCCTGTTTTTTGTTTTGCTGGAAGCCACAGCCGTGGGTTGAATTCCAGACCTAAAGGGCAGCTAGGGGCCACAATCTCAGTGGTTCCACCAGGCTCTATCAGATCAACAAACCTAGTCCCCCTTTTCTTCTTTTCCAAATGATTTTGAGTTTTGTTACCATTGTTCTCCCTCTCTATCCAGGATCTCCCACATAGATCCCCCTCTGAGTGGTTGACAGTGGTACCAGGGCACCATCTAGGTCTTCTGATCTCATAGTTGTACAGGATGAGGATCGCATGGTGTACCAGTCACTTGGACTAATTGTTTCCATGAATCTTTGGTTTGCTTCATTATTCTTTGCTGGACAAGGAGAGACCCATCACTGCATCTACATAGCTGCTTGCAAGCTTTTGAGATCCCAGTTGCTAATCACCAAAGTAGGAAGTGAACAATGTTTTGTGTAGTATGTTACGCCAGTTGAGCTTATTGTCCCCTGCAACCATGGTCCCGAGCCACTGGTTCAACTACTCACTCCCTCTGGGTAGCTGGCTGTGGCCAAGAAGTGACTACAAACTTGTCCCTTGTCAGCTCTGCTATATACACAGGAATTGCCACAGATTATACAAATACACTTATAGGACCACTGTCTGCCAAACCTATACATGGTCTTGGGTACACACCCTGCTGCATAGACATACCTAATAGATCAGCCTGTCCACCCATCTATCCACCCATATACCCATGTTTGCCTGCACTGACAACACAGTACTATATGTGCAAAAGGGTTCAATTCTGTTATCTGTACCTCCCATGTACCTCTCCATGTCTTCCTCTTCCTCAATGCCAACATGTTGATCACTCAATTTGGTACATTGCCCTTCTCTTCACTCAAATGAATACTTGTATCTACCTATCTAACAGTGTTCCCTCCCCTCCCCTCCCACCCATGGTAACCAACAAAGAAAACTTCCTTCCATAGATAAACCTTTCCTTGACTTTTACAATAATGGACTAATACAATATTTGTCCTTCTGTGACTGACTTATTTCACTTGGCATAATGTCCTCG